AAACAGAGTTCTTGGCACGCAATATTTGGACACGCTTTTGGCATTTATTTATATGTAGGTATACGGAAATTTAGTGGTAGGAAGTTTTCTCTGATATTCACAAAGCTCTCTAAGCCATATTTAATTGTTATTTTTTATTTTTTGTTTATTATTTTCCATATCTCTAGTTTGTAGTTACTAAATTTTGACTTGTTTGTGTTATGCTTCTCATTTCCGTGTTTCGCAGCGAATGTCGTCATCATTACTGCACGGAACGTTTTCCAGTCAGTTTTTTGCTAGATGTTCCGCCGATTTTGTTGCTCGGCCGCAAATTTATGTTTGCCGTTCTCTATTTTGTTTAAATTTTAATCACAGATACTCCTCGTGAAGGCAAACATATCGCATATAGTAAGAATCATATTGTGCGGATAGGTTGACTGCGCAATGCCAAATTTCTTATTCATGGAGATATTTCTTTGCAATTTTAACCAAAGATGCCTCTAGTAAAGAAAAATCATAGCGGCCATAGCTATGGCTTTATTTGACCTTATCCAAAATCCCTCACTTTTGCACATTAATCTCTTAGTCTGCAACCTACCCACTAAATATATGAAAAGCTTATGAGTTATGACTGATTATCTTATGGAGATGACTTTCAATTAACGTTGTACACACACATAATGTTCTTTTGGATATTGCGGGTGCCATTTCATAATTAAAATACTGCTTGTGGGCATCCAAGTTTGGTTTTAGAAATGTTGCACCCCCACTTTAGAAGTGTAGGTATTATAATCTCTTAGCAAAAAAGCAATTTATGTGTAGGTTAGCATGATCGATAAAATTAGAACGTATTTTTAGACGAATAAAGTGATTTTTCACATATTGGTTGGCGCCACAAATAAATGCATTGAATTAAAACTCTAAAATTCGATCAATGTTCATGTTAAAGTAACACCCCACTTGAGTAGTGTTTAAAGACCATTTATTGATAATGTAAATCCCTTTTAAAAAAGGTCACACGTTTAAGTTTACCGTTTCTGCCTTATGTCAATCACCGAAATGTGCTGCCGCTCTACTTAGTGTTATTGACCTTTCCCTTTTTTTTTTCGGTAAGCTATCATTGTTTATTCAATACACTCTCAAATTATCTTAAGTTTACAAATTCTAGCGCTGTTGACATACACAGTTCAGTGTGTAATTTTACGGAATTTTTATGTAAACACGCGTGCACCTATAGGAACGGAATCGAATCGTTCAATATTTGCTGCGTGTATGGTTCGAAACGAGAAAGGATAGGCCGTCACGATGCCCTCTTGTACCTAAGGTCAATATTTAGGCTTCCCGTCACATAATCTTACTCAATTTTCACGCATTACAATCGTAAGGATTATGGTTATTTTCGGCCTCTTAGGTGCATTAAAATTCCAATTTACTTACGCACGTAAAGGAAGACGTTAAAACGAAATATCGATTATTCATTTGTTGATACCTGATAAGGAAATGATGTTGAACCTACACTCATAATAATGCAGTGAGTAGTGAACACGTGTGATTATCCTTGTTAACTTGGTAATACACGTCATCGAGATTACTAAGACTAATGAAAGACATCCGTTAAACAACCACCCCTTATACTTGCTGACGAACAAGAACAACAAAGAATCAGAGTGTATCGATAGTGGATTTTAAACAAACTGTGACTAATGTATGACCATGTGCAATGATTTGTGGCTCAGGGCTTTCATTGTGCGTTTAGACATTCATTGTGTTAGTGCATATGTCAATTTTCACCAATCACACTAAGTTGAAAGTGATTGCAAAACGGGTAGATTTCAAATTCTGACGGTCCTAAGTAAGTGCTTAATTGACAAATAGGGGTTGTGAATATATAATTTAAATTGAAAAAAGATTTACAAATATAATAGTCCTTGGTCCATTCTAAATCAATTTGATCAATACTTGAGCCAAACTATGAACAGTGATAATTATTCACGATCGAAGGGTGCGAATGGCCCTGTGATATTTCAAATTTCCTGACAAAAAAACTTGTGATACAGGGAAACCACCCCAATAATGTACATAGACATTGATTTGTATTTGTGCTCACTTTTCCAAATTTGTGCGCGTGCACCTTCCAACTGAGCCTACAGTTCGATTATGACTTAATACGAACATTATCTACGATTGGCATCCATTTTGTTCCTATGAGATAGGTAAAGTTTGATGTGTTATAATTGACGTTCTTATTGTTATATCGGTCAATATTTGTATTTGATTATGGTAACAATTTTGGTTTAAGGGTTTTTTAGCCAATTACGTAAACCCTTGGTCAATAAATATACGGTTACCAGTTGGAATGTTAACAAAATTTTAAACGCGTTTAAATCCCCTAACGGCACTGTACAGGGTTTCTGTAGTATATTTTGACCTCCACATATTTTCATTAATTTTGGGAACACAAAAAAGTTTTAGTATTTTATCTTTCCCCCAGTTAACGCACGTGGTCCTCAGCATTATTTCTTACGTTCATGGTAGCGTCTGTGGGGAAAACTCACCAAGGTTCCAAAGCCGGTATAAGGAATTAAGAATGAAAACTTCAGAAACAATAAGAAATGCGAGCGGCCACACCGATGTAAAGGGTTGGTTGTAAAATACTATCTTCAATGGCTTTTCCATTAATTTTATGCTGACGTGTCTGCATTGAGGCCAATTAAAAGCACCTAATTACAATACACAGGGTGAACATTTTGTCTGAACACTGAATTCTGTTTGTCCGTTATACGGGTTTATCGGGTTTTTAAACCTGTTTCTTTTTTTAAGTGGTTTTCTGTTCAGCCAGCGGTAGAGCCACTATGTAAGGGGTGGCAGCCGATTTCTTTTCTTATGTGAGCCAATTCTGTGTCTGCGGAGCTTCCAGGGAAGGAGATATGGCGATTCGTCACAAAAAAAGACAGTGTATAACCTTCCTTTTTTACCAAAAATCGACTACACCAAAATTTCTCGGGAAAACACTTTTTCTTATTAATTTGGGTGCGTAGAATCCAAATCAATTCGTACTTTTTCGATCAGACTTCTCAATCAAAAGTTATAGACTAGAAACCAATTTCGAAAAAAAATTCAAAGGGCTGTAACTTTTGAACTAGTAGCCCAATATTGGAACTGTTTGAAATTATGGATTCTACAGGCCACATTCTATAAGAAAATTTTTTTTTCGGGTCGATCTTAGAATTTTTTTTCGGGGCTCAAAAAAAGGTAGTGTATAACCTTCCTTTTTTACCAAAAATCGACTACACCAAAATTTATCGGGAAAACACTTTTTCTTATTAATTTGGGCAAATCAATTTGTACTTTTTCGATCAGACTTCTTGTTGACAGGACTGTCACGTCATTAAAATAGTGACAGCCCTAAAACTATAAACAAAATTTAAAAGAATTATTGGTGTCAAATTGTTTTTATAATATGGAGGAATTCTATCAATTTGTAAAACCTTAGTTTAAAACGTATTTGGCTTATTGTAAATCTTTTGACGTTTATTTTAGTGCTTTCGCAAGAACCGCACTAAAATACTAATAAATATTATGGTCGGTGTTTCTTGTGAGAACTCAGGTCTAGCCTGGTTAACTAATCGCACGGATTAAAATCAAGTAACGATTAGTGTCTGTGTCTGTGTCTGGTGAAGTTATGTAGGGTCCTTAAAAAAAAAAAAAATAAAAAAATAAAAAAATAAAAAAAATAAAAATCACACACGTACATTGGACATCTAGGGATAATGTAATTCGTACTTACCAACATACCTATTGATGGGCACAATAGCCAACGCTATCAGGAAAGAGGAAAACAAAACAAAAAAAAAATCATTATAATAATTCCTGTAATTTTATTAAATGGAGTTTATTGTGTAAGTGTTTCTTTAGCTTTGCGTTTGGGTTGAATACGAGTGGGTTGTGATAACGTGGTGTGTTTCTGTGAAGAAGGAGTTTTGTATTTTTTAATTGTATTTATGGTGTTTCTTTGTTCCTGAGGTCGTGTTTGTGAGGTTGCTTGGGTTTTTGGTGGAGATATTGCAGTATTTTGTGAGCCTGTGGTGCTGTTAAGGTTTTTGCGTTTCGGTTGTATACGAGTGGGTTGTTTCTGAGAAGAATTATTATTATTATTATTATTATTATTATTATTATAAATGTTAAATGCAGCTGAAACCCGAATTAGAGCAATCCTACGCTATAGATGAACAATAGGACCTGGAGCACCTATTACGTTCGCCATTTTAATAAATGCAAATACAAGTGTAGTACATATGAAATTAGAGATGAAATTTTAATAAATAATTAATTTCCTGCACTATAAAGTTGCTAATTTGGAAATTAGTAAATAGAAATTGGTTGCGAAGAACTTTTAGTGGCTGTGGTAAAAAAAACAGTTGGAATTCAACCTAAAAACCATTGCAAAATACAAATTCGCGAGTTAAATTCGTCATAAATAATTGGAAGTGCAACAAAAAATCAGAATTGATCACATGAATTTAAAAATTCGAGACAAATTTATGGAAAATTACGAAGTCTTCGCCAACAAAGACTTTCCGAATCGATTATAATGAATGCAATTTATTTGATCCGAAAGTTATTCCAAACGCGAGAGTGTGAATAGGGCGCCTAGCTAGAGCGCCTAGAGAATGAATGCATCTAAAAGGGCGAAGAATCACCTTCGGTTGAGAAACGAATTAATTTCTTGTCGCTTTCGTTCCTACCCCCGTTCCCCTTTTTTTCCCCGCGCCCAATATAAAGTTACGGTTTGCGGTTCGAATGTCTGCCGCTAATCACTAATAATCCCTCTTCTTACTCTTTCGGATCTAATACGGCTTCCTTTCCCTCATTAATATTAACCAGCGAGTTGGTAAAATGAGGAGGGTTACATGTCAATAGTATAAGCTAGCAATTCCAATAAGATTAGGGAAATGGATGCAAAATCAAATTACTTTGTATTTGAATTCTGTTCTATTCTCTATTTTTCGTTTTTGTTTCAGATATAACGACGTGAACAAAGATGTAGCCATAAAACTTGAAGCCGACAAATGATCGTCCACAATGAGGAGGATATGGATGGTGGCCGTTGCGGTGCTTCTGTTTTCCATAATCAACGCAAATGCTATTGATCCCTGTAAGTATTAGCATAGATCGCTAAAGTAATTCCTTTAATTAAATTTACATCGTTCTTTTTGTTAGATTACGTATAAGAGATGTCTGTGTTCAATGATTTTTTAAATGCTATATATATAATATCGGTACTTTAAAACATTGCTATCAGTTTCACGATGGTTTCCCATTTTTCGGATCTTGATTAAATTAACCATAGATTGTAACCTCCTGTTATTCTATGGAACGCCGTTGTATCTTTTAATAACTAAACACCCGGACTAAAAAAATTAACTATAATTGACGCAATGGTACTAAAATTTATAGAAATTTACTTTGTGTTAACAACAATTGCCTAGTTGAAATTAATAATTGCATATCTTCCTATAACAACTCGCAATAATTTCCTCTTTTACAATTTCAAATAACGGTTTTTGTGCGAAATTTCAAAAACCGTTATTGAAATGGCATATTTAACCATTTCAAATCGGCAGTCTTATTCATATATCACGATTTAGAAATAACGTGTTGAAAATTTTAATGTTCAAAAATTATCGATTTGATATTATTAAATAATCTTTAATATCACCTTCACGCTTTGTAATAATTTTCAATTTCAAGTTGAAATAAAAAATTCAATTCTCTATTTCAAACTCGTAACTTTGGAACGCACAATTTAATTTTTAATATCAACTCTGTGATATTGGTAATTCGATTTACTTATATGTCATGACATATAAAAAATTGTGGCGCCATCTATCGAGTGATGTCAAAAGTGAGGAGCGAACCTCAACCCAACTAATCACGTTTGATGTAATTACCGCGAAAATCTACTTTCAAGTGCTTATTTTATTACCCATATCGTTCATAAATACATTGTGCGAATAATATTGTCAAAAAAAATGTACAATTACGCGAAATGGAGATTTTAAATTCTGTTCCGATTATTAAACTTACTGTCGCTAGAGGGCAGGTCAATTTGCTATATGTGATTTAAAAATATCGCCTTGATATTTTTAATTCATTTACCAATATGTGCGACTTGATATTTTTAATTCTGTTGCACAAATTACTAATTTCTACTTGAAATTTTTAAATACTTTGCATTGTACACGGTATGAAACTTAGAAATATAATTCGTGAATTGTATATTTCAATAGGATATTAAAATTTTTTTAACTATAACAACCTTTGTGTTAATTACAATTGTCAATATGGAAACTACCTCTTCCATTGTCGCAAAAATTTCAATCCCGTCTAACGTTTTATTTGAAACTGCATACCTATTAATTGATTTTAATGAACATTTCAGGTACGTTTTAAAATGTTCAGAATGCAAAATTAAAAAAAACTTCTGTTACTGAAGAATCGGTTGATGAGTTTTAAAAACATATTTTCGTTATTGAAAATTAAGAAATGAAATAGAAAATTATTCTATGGTTGAAAATAGCTTTTATTTTTAAATATGAGATAAAAATTTTTGATATCAAAAACAGTTTGTAAACATTCAGCAATGAATTCTTCATTGTGGAGGAATAAATTAATAGGGATGGATATTACTTGAAACAAGAAATTGAAAATTATCGTTATGTTGTGGATTGAACATCCAACCAAAGGAATCAATGAAATTTATTAATATTTCAACTCTAAATAATAATAGTTTTGAAATAAAAAATTGTTTTAAAATACAAAGTCGATATCATGAAATACGTTTGAATTAACAAACTTAACACCATAATTGAAGAATTACAATTATAAATTTCAAATAGCGAACTTCGCAAAGTATTTAAAAATTCCAAGTAGAAATTAGTAATTTGTGCAATAGAATTAAAAATATCAAGTCGCACATATTGGTAAATGAATTAAAAATATCAAGGCGATATTTTTAAATCACATATAGCAAATTGACCTGCCCTCTAGCGACAGTAAGTTTAATAATCGGAACAGAATTTAAAATCTCCATTTCGCGTAATTGTACATTTTTTTTGACAATATTATTCGCACAATGTATTTATGAACGATATGGGTAATAAAATAAGCACTTGAAAGTAGATTTTCGCGGTAATTACATCAAACGTGATTAGTTGGGTTGAGGTTCGCTCCTCACTTTTGACATCACTCGATAGATGGCGCCACAATTTTTTATATGTCATGACATATAAGTAAAAATATCACAGAGTTGATATTAAAAATTAAATTGTGCGTTCCAAAGTTACGAGTTTGAAATAGAGAATTGAATTTTTTATTTCAACTTGAAATTGAAAATTATTACAAAGCGTGAAGGTGATATTAAAGATTATTTAATAATATCAAATCGATAATTTTTGAACATTAAAATTTTCAACACGTTATTCCTAAATCGTGATATAATGAATAAGACTGCCGATTTGAAATTGTTAAATATGCCATTTCAATAACGGTTTTTGAAATTTCGCACAAAAACCGTTATTTGAAATTGTAAAAGAGGAATTATTGCGAGTTGTTATTGGAAGATATGCAATTATTAATTTCAACTAGGCAATTGTTGTTAACACAAAGTAAATTTCTATAAATTTTAGTACCATTGCGTCAATTATAGTTAATGTTTTTAGTCCGGGTGTTCAGTTATTAAAAGATACAACGGGGTTCCATATTATTCTTTTATTTTTGTTTACTGAAGTTTCGTGTTTTTTGCTTTAATTATGGACTCTTTTACACATATCCGCAGTCCTTGTCTCTATTTTCATTTTTTTGCAATAATACTTTGTTTGTATGTTACCCTTTCTTCTTTCATTCTTCTCTAATTTGACTTGAACTATTACTAAAGTCTGGGAGATTAGGGAAAACTTTCGAGTAAAGCCCTATCCATGCTAATAAGCGAGATCTCTATAGTTAACAGGAAATTTGATACAACCTGTATAGTCGTTGCGCCCTTCCCTATGAAAGTGCAAATTTGAAGTTGCTTTCCGAAGTTGATTCCCAGTTTCTTATTTTATTCATGCCTTAATCATATACCCCACTCCTTTGTAGTCCCTTTTTGGTCCTATACACTGTTAACAGTAAGTTTACTTTACATCCCTTTCTTTATTGGTTTTCTTATGTAATAGTCGAGCTTGGTTTTGTTTTCCTGTACTGTTTTGGGCACTGCGATCCCTTTTCAATCTGTTAGTTCATCCGCTATGAACTATCCTACCCTTAATGTTTCCTCCATTTGTGTTTTCTTATATTATTATTTTCTTTCAGTTTTGCAGTGCGTTTCCCATCTTATAATTCCATTACTATTATTCTCTCTCTCTCTTTTTCCGTGACATTTACATAGCATTGTTTTTTGCAATTGTTCTTTCAGTTTTTCTTTTAGGTGTTACACACCTCAAATCGTTTGTCCATTTTTTGTAGTTAATTTACTTTTTTTATAACATATGTTTCGTTGGATGTATTTCCAACTTGTCGAACACTCTTGTATGAAATTATGTTACTCAATTATATATAGAAATTGTAAATACATTACTTTGCAAAACCCTTTGAAATACAAGTTTACGCGAAGTTTCGCTCCTATTACGTGTAATTTTCTATCGCGAGTACACCTGAAGTTCTTTCCTTGAAAATGTACACTTTTCACTGACTATTCAAAATCCGATTTACCGCATGTATTTAAGTTTTTGCGCAATGTGAACGAAACATGCAACCACAGACGTAAAATTGAATTCATTTCTGGTACTTTGTAATTTTGAACGACGAATAAAGTTTATTCTTAATTATAAAGAAATTGGGACATTTTAAGTATTTCATTACATTTGTATTCCCAACGCGAAAGAGTCTTTTAACTGTAATAATTCTCTTCTTTAAGCACAATGCATTGCACCTTTGGGTATGGAAAATGGGGCAATTAAGGACGAGGACATAACCGCCAGCTCATCCTTTGACAGTGGCAACGTGGGCCCCCAGCACGGTCGGTAAGTTTCTACATTCATATGCAAGTAAATAAGTCGAAACTTCCGCGGTCATGAATGCGGTTCGGCAATCATTCATGTCCCTAAATTGAACGATCCCGAAAGAAATTCATAGAATTGGCCAAGCGACCTAAAGAGAACGTTCCAATTCTGACATTGACATATGGCGTAAGGCGTTAGACGCAAACAGACGGAATATGAAAATTTGAAAGCACCCTCCAGGTCCGTTGAGCCACTCAATCTTCTCCACGGCGGTTGCTGTCAGGTTTATGAGAATTTAAAACCCTTCCCTCGAGTCTTGGCGCGGATCAATAAAGCGGCTCTATGTACATTGCCTAGTTTGTACTACCGGTTGCGGTTACACCGAGTTTTATTGCTCTTGCAGGTGGCTATGGAAGCGTACTCTATATTTCCACCGGTCTCGAGGCTCAGGTGTGGTCGGCTTCTGAATATTTTATTTGAGACGTTACGACCGCACTGTATACGAGATAAATACCGTAATTTATGACACAGAGAATACCCCCACATAATTCGCGATAAAGTTGGTAAACTAATACAATCGCTCGACTTCTTAATTCTAAAGTAGCATTCATTTAATAGGGTAAAAGGGGTGAACTTCCCCACAGAATGGTTAGAATTACGTGCTATTGGAAGGCTTTTTATCCGATTAATTGCGTTATATTACCTTCTACGTAAATCCACTGAGTCACACGACATGCTATAGTCTATTGAAAAAATCGATTTAAATCGCGGGAAGTCGGAAAAATTACAAACGACCTTCTTGATGGTGGCGATTTTCCCTTTTTAAACCCGTACAGAGGGAAATCTCAACGCGTCTTTGCGGTTAATTGAATTAGAAGTTTCTCTGAGTTTAACAGGCGCCCGACGTTGAATTTCAATGTAAATTTATTCTTGACATACACGTAGTTAACGTAAATTTGAATGCAAAGTATACTCAAGGAGTTAGTGCACACCTTCTTCTTGTGTTCGGATTGACATTTCGTCACAAACTGCATCATTTTTAATTTCTTGCCTTAAGCATCTAAATTAAAAAGATATCGCGGAATGGGCCACTTTTTCGAAAGATACAGGGCAAGTTTTTGGGCAGTGTACATTGGGTACTATTCTGAATCTTCTTTAACACCAATAAACCACAATAAAACCAATAAGGCATAGGTATGCGTTTGGAAATCAAAGCTGTCATAATCAGTATTAAGTTAGTTTGCTTTCTTAATGCTTCCTGATTAAAGTCACAATTCGTCCTCCAATAAACACAGTAATTTTTTTGATATTTTAATGTCATTTTGGCTTGAAAGTAGAAAAATGAATGTATCTATGGATCAAAAATTGAACGAAGTATGTTCACCAAAAATCGTGATGAAACCTTCATTTTCATGCCTACTTTATGGTAAGAGTCAAAACGTTACCATTAGTTTTATTACGTATACGCAGCGCTTTGAAAAGGAAATAAGGACTTCTTCGGCCAAATTCGGCTACCGATAGAATTTTTAGTACGCCAAAACTTGATCACCAATGACGCATATTAAGATTTCCTCCGAATTTGAAAAGTATTTTTTCTGAAACTATTTTAGAAACAACTACTTTCGTCTCAAAAAATGGTGAAAAATATGTGATTTTCCTCTCTAGTGAGGAAAATAAAAAACAATTGCTACGCCCGTGTCAAACTCGAGTTGAAAAACTCCACTTTTTTTTCTTTGACTCTCCTTGTAATCATTTTGGAATCAAACGGTCTGAATATTCTTACCACCCTCGTAGAAATCTTTTTAGGATTTTTCGATCATCTTAGACTTTTTTGAAAATCCGTATAGAATCTTTCGACCCTTTCAGAATACCCTCGTTTTTTTTAATCTCCTTAGAATATTTTTAAAATTTTATTATTATACTACATATATTATTATTAACAATTAAAGACAAGTATAAATTGTGCAAAAATCTTGTGCCAATAAAGTGCATTTTTTTTACCGAAATAGTTTAGTAAATAGTTCGGTTAAAAGATAGTAGCATGCTATATTTATCGATTGCTGGATAATTAAAGAGACAGGGGAGGGGGGTTCCTTAACCCTGAACATGTAAGGGCCGACGGGAGCACATTCAAAATGCACGCTATATATTGCAATAAGAATCCAGCCCTTACAGAAATTCACCGCAATATTGTATTTTACTTTGTTCCTACGACGCACTCGAGTACCATGACGGTTAAAACCAGATCTCCTCCTCCCCCAACTCCCCATGTTTATAAGGGGTAAGAGACTTTTTTTTAATTCTTAAAAAAGGCGCTACAAATTCTACGATAAAAGATCCGGATGGGGTCACGTTTCAGAGTTTACATAATTTTTCCGAGAAAAAGTTTCTAAATGTCATTTTAATGGTTATCTCTGCTTCGCGTATGTCTTGTTAGAATATTAGACCCCAGCTCGGCAATTCGCTTTCTCTATCGCTTTCCGCCCTACGCCCCGACGCTATCCTTATCTTTTCCATTTTATTTTATTCCTATAATATAATAAAATACTCATTTATAATGCCTTCGTTGTACTTCTTCCAGTTCCTCCCATTCCTTCCACCCTCTGTTCCGTACTTAAACTCTCCTCTCATAGTCCAGTCAATAGAGACCTAAATAGGGGAGTTTAGTCAAAAATTTGGTGTCCAAGAGGTTATGACTGATTCTTATGTATTTTTTGGCGTAGATTCCGAATTTTTAATCTCCCACCAACCTTAGGGGGGGGGAACCCCCCCAAAAATGCAAAAAACCCCAAAATTTCGGCCCAAAATTCAGAATTTTGGAAAAATCTCGCTAAATTTAGATTTTTGGTCCAAAGTACCTTAGTTCAAAATTAAAGTACACAAAATTTGCAGGAAAAGTGATATATACACTTTTGGTCTAGGACCAACGGGGGCGGAGATAAGAGGGAGGTCAAAAAAGGGTACTTTGTTGGAAAACGTGAAAAAAACGGAATTTCTCTGAATAACTCTCTAAATGTTGGTTTTAGAGAAAAAACTCAAAGGACCAAAATGAAAGTAGACGAAAAATTACTTCGGAAAGTGCACGTGTGCGGAGCCGATGAAGGGGGGGGAGGAGGGGGAGGGGGCGAGCGCAAAACCTCTCTTCCTGGCGCCGCGCGACGGCACTGGCATAAGGCGCTATACGCGCAGTTTCGGGTATCTCTGGCGGCCTCGGTCCCGGTCATAAAGGATGCTTCTTTGTCCTTATTTTAGAAAGGGGCCTCTGGCTTCCCCCTCCCTCTTGTTGGTCGTTTGTATGCTTTTTGTGTCCTCTGGAAACCAGTTCAAGATCCTTCTTCAGTGCGTCTGTGTTGTCGCGTCGTGCGCATCACGCTATATTGCTCCGTGCTTATTTACTATTTTTCGCCTGAGCCAGTAGAGGTTGAGTTTTTATTTAAAGATGACCTAAAAAAGTGCGAAAGTAACGTTTCTTGCTGTCCGCCATGCAAATCAGAATTTCAGACAAATACTACAATCTCCCCCAAAAATTGTAACTCGAGCACTAAATAAACAAGTACAATGCGATCAAAAATGATTGGCTCTCTAGTCGCCTTTGGAATTTTTGTTTACATGGGAAATCGTATCTAACTTGAACTTCCAAAGGCGACTCGACAGCCAATCATTTTTGATCGCCCGATATAAATTGTGCACAACTCCTGTGCAGATAAAGCGCATTTTTTTAACCGAAATAGCTTTTGTATGGACATCACCAATGGATATATTTCTTGCAGACGTTTCAATCGCCCTTTGATAGTACCCTCTTCCGACAATCCGTTCTTGAGGTATAAGGTAATATACCCGATCACGATAAGAGGTCGAGGAGGAGGGCTATGGTTGGTAGAAATTAATTCCTTGCGTTGAGACCTTTCATTAGAGTACCATGAAGGTTAAAACTAGTTCCACCTCTCTCCCCTCGAGAGTATATGCAAGCGAACAAACTCAAAACGCACAGGCGCGCGAGCACGATATTACAGAAAATTTCGGTAAAAACAACAAACTTTTAACCGAAAAATAGTAAATAAGCAGGGAGCAATATAGCGTGATGCGCACGACGCGACAACACAGACGCACTGAAGAGGGATCTTGAACTGGTTTCCAGAGGACACAAAAAGCATACAAACGACCAACAAGAGGGAGGGGGAAGCCAGAGGCCCCTTTCTAAAATAAGGACAAAGAAGCATCCGTTATGACCGGGACCGAGGCCGCCAGAGATACCCGAAACTGCGCGTATAGCGCCTTATGCCAGTGCCGTCGCGCGGCGCCAGGAAGAGAGGTTTTGCGCTCGCCCCCTCCCCCTCCTCCCCCCCTTCATCGGCTCCGCACACGTGCACTTTCCGAAGTAATTTTTCGTCTACTTTCATTTTGGTCCTTTGAGTTTTTTCTCTAAAACCAACATTTAGCGAGTTATTCAGAGAAATTCCGTTTTTTTCACGTTTTCCAACAAAGTACCCTTTTTTGACCCCCCTCTTATCTCCGCCCCCGTTGGTCCTAGACCAAAAGTGTATATATCACTTTTCCTGCAAATTTTGTGTACTTTAATTTTGAACTAAGGTACTTTGGGCCAAAAATCTAAATTTAGCGAGATTTTTCCAAAATTCTGAATTTTGGGCCGAAATTTTGGGGTTTTTTGCATTTTTGGGGGGGTTCCCACCCCCTAAGGTTGGTGGGAGATTAAAAATTCGGAATCTACGCCAAAAAATACATAAGAATCAGTCATAACCTCTTGGACACCAAATTTTTGACTAAACTTTTCTCTATTGACTGGACTATCACTATTGCATCGAACAGGTACTTTCTTGTTTCAAAATCATTCTTGAACCCCCCTGTCTGCAATTCCCCACACTTCTTAATTCTCTTATCTGCGTATTTGTTCCATCGTTTCTTTGCACTTGTTACCTTAAATACTTAATTTCTTTTACCTATTCTATTCGTTCCTCTCTTCGTGGCCCCTTTCATTCCACCCCCTCCCCCCTTCCCAAATC